CCCATCTATTATTATTATTATTGCCATTTATATAGCGCCAACAGATTCCGTAGCGCTTTACAATATTATGAAAGGGGATTTAACTATAAATAGGACAATTACAAATAAACTTACAGGAACAATAGGTTGAAGAGGACCCTGCTCAATCGAGCTTACACTCTATAGGAGGTGGGGTGTAAGACACATTAGAAAAGGAATGTGCAATCAAAAAAGGTGGGCTGCCCTTTAGGAGAGGGCAAGAGACGGGTATGTGAGGTAGGGGTTAGTCTTGGAGGCCATAAGCTTTCCTAAAGAGATGGGTTTTAAGGCACTTCTTAAAAGATGCAAGACTAGGGGAGAGTCGGATGGCGGTAGGCAGGCTATTCCATAGGAAGGGAGCCGCCCGCGAGAAGTCCTGCAAGCACGAGTTGGCCGTACGAGTGCGGACAACGGACAGGAGGTGGTCACGGGCAGAGCGGAGAGACCGAGAAGGGACATACCTGTGGATCAGTGAGGAGATATACCCATCTGTCGTCCAACTTCCACGATGGGGATCCACCGTTTGGCCATTGTTGTAGGGTTGTATTTGTGAGCAGTGTTTGTGAATTTGAATGTAAGCATGTTTTTGTATAGAGTATATGTGTGCATATAGGGGTGTATTTGTATATACTGTTACTATTGGAATGCAGCTGTGTACTTTTGTGTAGTGTTTGTGTTTGAATGCAGGGGTGTGTGTTTGTATGTAGTGTTGGCTTTTAAATTAAGTTGTGCTTTTGTGTATTGAGTTGGCGTTTGTATATAATTTTAGTGTTTTATGTAACATTTGTAATTGCATGCAGTGGTGTGTGGATGTAGGGTTGTCTTTTAAATGCAGATGTACATTTGTGTGTAGTTTAGTGAGTGAAGGGTGTGTTTGTATACAATTTTGGAGTTTGTATTAGGGGTGTGTTTGTATGTAATGATTGTGTTTGCTGTGGTGTGTTTGATTGCCTGGATATATGCACATACATACACAGACACACACAGCCAGATACACAGACTGACAAAAACACAGACAGATACACACACAGCTAGATACACATCCAGATATACACACAGCTAGGTACACTCACAGCCAGGTACAAACACTCACAGTCAGGTACACACACACACACACACATACAGCCAGATACACATGCACATACAGCCAGATACACACACTGACATACACATAGCCAGATACACACAGCCAGATACAAGCAGCCAGATAAATACACACACACACAGCCAGATAAACACACACACACAGCCAGATAAACACACACACACACACACAGCCAGATAAACACACACACAGCCAGATAAACACACACATATAGCCAGATATACACACACACACAGCCAGATATACACACACACATATAGCCAGATAAACACACACATATAGCCAGATATACACACACATATAGCCAGATATACACACACATATAGCCAGATATACACTCACACATATAGCCAGATATACACACACACATATAGCCAGATATACACACACACATATAGCCAGATAAACACACACATATAGCCAGATAAACACACACACATATAGCCAGATAAACACACACACACATGGCCAGATAAAAACACACACACACACAGCCAGATAAACACACACATATGCCCAGATGCACTCACTCAGACCCAGGTACACACACATATATCAAGTTACATCATATTTTAGCCACCCTCTTGTCTCCTTACCTTTTGGGTACAGAAGGGTGGCTTCCCTGGGGTCCAGTGGGAGCTGGAGGACCAAGGCTGATGAGAGTCTGTCCTCAGTCCCTTTTCTCCTCCTGTGTATACCTCCTCTACCTCCCCAGCGGCACTCTGTTACTTGGGAGGAAGTGATCTCACCTCACTTCCTCCCAGCAGGCAACATCAAAGGGGCCAAGGCCGAGCACTCTTAAAGGGCTGAGGGCCCTTAATTACATCAGGTGCTGCAGTCCACAGGATTTGGACCCCAGCAGGGGGCCCACAGAGCAGCTACTTTGGGCCTCCCAGGAGTAACTGGGCCCGGGGCAGCTGCCCCTTTTGCCCCCCTTTAAAGACGGCCTTGTACTCAAGTCTATATTTAGATGTACATATTGATCAAGAGAACCTTTGTTAGGTTCCAGATATTTACATGTGATTAAATGTAAACTTGACCAGTATATTTAATGTAGAAAACTATTTTTTACTGACATATAGAATAGAAGCAAATGAATAGAGGAGGATGTTTAGGGGCCCTCTTCTGTTGCCTGCTGGACTGGTGATACCCACTTTCCAAGAGAAACACTAGACTCTGAAGCACAGTCCATGGTGATCTAATGAGGTTACATATTCCCTCTTCAAATCTTTTTAATGGCTGAACCACAAATGTTGGGACGGATCATCAGAATTTCAGAGAAAAAGACTAGGAAAACAAATCAGACATCCAAAAAAGTGTGAAAATGGGTAAATCTGTGTACCGAAAATATATTACATAGTTACATAGTTACGTAGGCTGCAAAGAGACATGTGTCCATCAAGTTCAGCCTTCCTTACATCTGTTTTTTGCTGTTGATCCAAAAGAAGGCAAAATAAACCAGTTTGAAGCAACAAACTAGGAAAAAAATTCCATCTTGACCCCAGAATGACAGTCAGATTAATCCTTGGATCAATAAGCATTTACCCTACATTGAAAAATTATATCCCTGAATATTCTGTTTTTGCAAGTATGCATCTAGTTGCTGTTTAAACATCTGTACAGACTCTGATAAAACTACTTCTTCAGGCTGAGAATTCCACATCCTTATTGTTCTTACGGTAAAAAAAACCCTATATCTATATATTAATATTATGGATATGTTTTGCAGTACATCAGTAGTCATATTTTACCACCATTTGGCTCACAGTTCAAGTGAGAAAAAGAGGAGCAGTAAAATATATTTATATAAATAAAAAAGATAAATAAATATATTTATTTATAAAATATATAATATAGTTTTATTTATTTTGACCGATTCTTTAGTGGCTGTACCCTAACCATAAATCATCTTTTTCCAATCAATTAAATTAACATTCTCATCCATTGCGCAAGTAGTTTGTTTAATTATTAGTTGATATAGCAATTCTGAAATAAGGAAATTGTAAGATTTCTCTAAACAAATTTAACTGAAATACATTTTCCTACATTGCACATGCTAAAGGATCATTAGATTATTCTCAAGGCCAAGGAATGAGAGAACAAATTCCTATCTTAATTGCAAAAATAGTTATCTTGTAAAACCTGGAGACAGATATTTAAATGTATTTGTATTAGTAATAATATAATTTTTCTGTTGATAATGCAATGCGTTACATAAGACATTGATTGCTTCCTTGAGTGTTAATTAGTATGTAGCGCCTCTCAGCACTTTGGCATTTTGGTTAGGGCACATGCAGAATAAATACAACTATTTGAATTACAGGTTTAAGCCAACTAACTTGCAGATTGCTTTATCATAAATGCTCTCCAATACTATTGGGTGCTTACTGCACCTACAGCAAGGCTCAAAATTGCTACTCGCCATTGGAACTATTAAAGGAACACTATACTGTCAGGAATAGAAACATGTATTCCTCACATGATACTTGTAAAATTGTCGTTTAGTTTGCCCCCCAATAAAAAGGTGTTTTATTCAACTTTTTCCAGCTCCACCTCGTGCCACCTCCTTGGCTGAGATTATCACATGTAATGACCACAACCAAACCAATGCTTCCCCATAGGAAAGAATTAGGAGACTGTTGCGAATGCATTGCAGAATGTCTTGCTTTGCCAATCAGCATCTCCTCATAGGAGATGTTGAGCGTAATTTCTGCACACTGTGCAGCACTGACACAGGATGCACCTCTAATGGTCGTCTGAGTGACTGCCATTAGAGGTGTTACTAGGCAGTAATGTAAACACTGCCTCTTCTCTGAAAATACAGTGTTTACATAAAAAGCCTGCAGGAACAGGCAGTAGACACCAGAACAACTACATTAAGTTGTAGTTGTTCTGGTGACTATTGTGTCCCTTTAACAGGGACAACATGCCTGCAGATATCTACTGTGACATTAAACCATAAAGTGTGGGGTATTGCTAGTTTAAGGCTCTGTGAAGATTGTAGAAAACTACCCATCAACCACCAGCGCCTGAGAGGGGATATGATAACATTATACAAATATATATGGGGCCAGTACAAACCATTATCTGGAAATCTATTCATAAACAGGGCTATACATAGGACATGAGGTCACACATTTAAGCTTCAAGAAAGGAGATTTCATCTAAGGCAAAGAATAGTTGTTTTTTTTTTATAGTAAGAGCAATAAGGATATGGAATTCTTTGCCTGAAGAGATGGTTTTGTCAGAGTCTATACAGATGTTTAAACTGCAATTGGATAAATACTAGCAAAAACATAACATACCAGGATATAATTTCTAATAGCTGCTTGATCCAAGGAGACATCTGACTGCTATTTTGGGGTCAAGAAGGAATTTTTTCCTAGTTTGTTGCAAGATTGGAAGCGCTTCGGACTGGGTTTTTTGCCTTCTTTTGGATCAACAGCGGAAACATATGTGAGGAAGGCTGAACTTGATGGACGCCGGTCTCTTTTCAGCTATATAACTATGTAACTATGTAACCAACCCAAACCATAATCAGTCTTTGTGTAGGATATTTGAAATGGAAAACAAACAGCCAGTTTCCCCTTGGACAACTTGGGAATGGAGAGCATGATTAATGCCCATGTTTTGGGAGCTGGAATTATGGTGAAGCAAAGTAGCAAGATGTTGGAAGGTTTTTAAGTTTAAATGGAGAGGTGGGGACTCACCTGTCAGCAAGAGAAGGACCCTGACTGATTTTCTGTCCTGACTGGGCCTGTCAGGGAGAAAAAAAACAGTTTTATTACAGTAAGTAAACTGGCTTATAGCTTGCATCTCTCTTCCAGTGACAGGCATTGGCTACACTATCTAGAGCTCCTAAAGCTTACCAGGACTCCTACGGCCGGTGTTCCTTTGAGGAGTTGGTGGCTGGGGTGCATACGGTTTCCAGGACTGCTTTGGTGCAGCTGAAGATGTTGGAGGGGCTGAAGGCAGGCAGAGGGCCAGGCATTCTTGGGCTACGTTGCTTTTGTCCCCAAGACCTGTGTGGCATACCACCAGGAGAAGATGTTGGAGTTCTGACAGTGGCAGCACTGAGCCGTAGATGGTGCTCCTGCACATGGCATGGATGAAAGGAGGACATGCTCAGAAAGAGCTGCCTCAGAGCAGGTTCAAAATTGCAGCAGGGAAGATGGTGACTGCAAGAAGGTAGCATAATGGAATGAAGGACTCGCAGTCCAAGCTCTAATCTTCGGGCTGGGCCTGAAATTCTTTTTTTTATTGACATCTGCCTGCCAATGGGCATTGCCATTTCTTGTTTGTGCTTCAAAATGTTTTCCTCATTTCTTGATTTGGTGTTGGCTTGAGTGGCGGGTTTGTCGTCCTTGACCCATTACCTAGATGACATTCTATTTGTGAGACCATGGGACTGCAACGTGCTGCTGTAGTCTTTTCCTATCTTTGGATACAAATCGATGTGGGAGAGATGGTATTTTTTCTTCCAGAGGACAAACTGACACGGTTAATGCACATGGTTGACCAAGTAAAAGGGGCTAGAAAAGTTAAATTAGATCAGTTTGTTAGGACATCTGAATTTTTCATGCCACATTCGTTCTATGGTAAGGGTATTCTGTCACCGCTTATTGTTATCTAGGTTTGGGATTCAGCAACCCTTTCAGTTCATATGGATTACAAAAAGACATCAGGAGGAGTTGCAGGTGTGGAGTACTTCCCTGGGTAAGTACAATGGCCAATCTTATTGAATGCAAGAATCTGTGTTAAATTCTGAGCTGCACTTATTTACTGGTGTTGCCAGACATGAGAGTTTCATAGCGAATGGTGTGCAGTTAATTTAAATTTTAGTGAATGTATTAATACAATTTAACACTTTATTTATGTTGAGTAACAGGGGGATTCTAAACTCCAGATACATTGTGGTCTCATTTATTTAAGTTTATATGATGTTTATTGCATGTTTGGTTATAAGTATAAGTTTGGACTGGGCAGGATAAAACATCTTTACCCTTAACCCAACATCATGTAAACTTTAACGGAATATCAGAAAATATACCATCTTTTTATAGTTAGTTGAGACAGTAAAAAAAATTACTATAAAGTTGACTTATTGATACCTACTTTATCAACAGTGTAAGTTTCACCATGTACAGTCCTGAAAGAATTATGTCCTTTCTTTGTAAATAGACACAATGTGACTAGTTATAGCTCAAAAGGAAACTTTGTTTCCCATGTTTCCCACCACGTGTGTGTTTATACCTTGCTCTCACAGTACAAATAAACATGCTTTTAAAATAGATTATTTGATTTTTTTTAAATACCCCCTTACCAAAAAAAAAAAACAACACAAGAGCATTATCTTACATGTAGAGGAATCTCTATAGCTACATAATGATATGCAAAATACACTCATAACACGCAAGTGATTGTGTGAACAGATGGATACACTTCAACAGATTGGACCGGAATGAAAGACAGATACAAGTATGACAGAAACAAAATGTGCAAATGTAAATGGTACACTTTTTTATTTCCAATAAATAAATACAAATTTTATCCATTGACAATGGTACAAATTTATTGGTGTATTGAACTTTTTCCATAATTATTAAATCTGTCCTTTGGATATATTTCACGTAAGAGGCATTATAAAATAAGAGGATATTTTAACAATATACGACTTCCACCTAAACACTTGTGGAAAACAAAATAAAATATTAACTTAGCTTTGGGTACTTGCTTCCCTTGAGTTACCTCCCAACTCGGTAACTATATACAAAATCTTATAAAATACAAAACGATGAGGGATCCAGCTTGTACCACTAAAATGGAAACATGAAATACAACTTATTTGTGCATTTGTCATTTTGTTGGCAGTGTATGTAATCATATATTTTATTGTTATTTTTAATTTTGCACCCTGAAGAAGTTCCCCAAGGGGAACGAAATGCGTAGGACCGTTATCTTTTATTTTATTTAAGTGTATGTATATATTTTTAAAAGCCAATAAATCTTTTTTGTACCCAACCATTGGGAGTGTGTTGACTTCCTGACAACCGGATTTGGTGTGATAACCATTCCCCTAACCAAAGGGGAGGCACCCTGAGGGCCTGACATAATACGTCAACTTGTGAGTGTAACCTTGAAATGTGAAGCGAGTGTTCAAAGTTGTAACTTTATTACACTATGTTGTATTTCATGTTTCCATTTTAGTGGTACAAGCCGGATCCCTGATCGTTTTGTATTTTATAAGATATTTTAACAATACTGGAAATTTTGCTGATAATTTGCTGCTCCAAAAACAAAAATATACTACTGCTCTTACTTGTATTTCTTTAAATCCAATGATACCAATTATACTATGATATCATGAAGGGGGTTGATTCTTCCTTTTTTGAGCACATTATAACATTTTTACAGTATGGTTCAATAAATGGTTCAATAAAGGAGGACTTTATAATTGCTGAGCTAGATCAGCCAAATTGGTCAGTTGTGCAAAAAGAATGTTCATCACCTGAAAGAAGTGTAAATATTTATGGCTGGATTTATCTACATTTTTATTCTTTTGTAGCGAAGTTAAAGAGATAATGTATTTTATGCATCCGAATATACTATGTAAATAATTATTTTTAAAAATTATTACATTTAGAGATTATTAGAGATTTGTTTGGTCCAAAACTACATTTAGATCAGAGAAAAGCAAGTTTACATTTGTGCCTAGGAACATCTCTAGTGGCAGTCACTCAGATGGTCACTAGCGGTGCTTCCTAGTCCAGTGCTGCTCAGTGTGCAGCTCTGGCATTCAGTGTATCCACGCCCTGCTCGGAGACTCTGAACATTCCCTATAGAGATGCATTTATTCAGGGCATCACTGTGAAGAGATGCTGATTGGCGCAGTGGGGCATTTTGTCACGCATGCAAATGGCCTCCCAATGTTTTCCTATGGAAAAGAATTGGATTGGCTAAGATCACTAAGATTGAAGGCAGAGCCAGCCGTGACATTGGAGAAAAGGTGGGTAAAATCACCATTTTACTAAGATCGGATGGGGACAGTTAAACTGCCTCTTTTGAGCTATAGTGTCAGGAATACATGTTTGTATTCCTGACACTATAGTGTTTCTTTAAAGATAGGCTTAAAGAGAGTTGTCATTAAAGGACCACTATAGTGCCAGGAAAACATACTCGTTTTCCTGGCACTATAGTGCCCTGAGGGTGCCCCCACCCTCAGGGACCCCCTCCCGCCGGACTGGATGGCGAGGAAAAGGGTTAAACTTACCTTTATTCCAGCACCGGCCGGGGACCTCTCCTCCTCCTCTCCGCCTCCGATCCTCCTCTTGGGCTGAATGCGCATGAGCGGCAAGAGCTGCGCGCATTCAGCCGGTCTCACAGGAAAGCATTTATAATGCTTTCCTATGGACGCTTGCATCTTCTCACTGTGGTTTTCACAGTGAGAAGCACACAAGCGCCTCTAGCGGCTGTCAATGAGACAGCCACTAGAGGATTTGGAGTCTGGATTAACCCATTTATAAACATAGCAGTTTCACCGAAACTACTATGCTTATAAAAAAAGGGGTTAATCCTAGAGGGACCTGGCACCCAGACCACTTCATTAAGCTGAAGTGGTCTGGGTGTCTAGAGGGGTCCTTTAATGGTACATTTTCAAGCTGGACAAAAGATGAAAGTCGTGTCCCTCTGGGTTCTGTTCTTGGACCACTTCAATTAAACATTTTTATACATTATCTTGAAATACGCATTTGGAAGTCTTGTTTCTGTGTTTGCAGATGACAATGTGAGCAAGATATTACTTTGTTGTAGAAGGATTCAGATAGATTGGAGGACTGCATATTTCAATGCTATTTGAAAAGTAACATACTTAGATGCAATGTTATTCAGTTCTGAGTAAAGAATGCACAAGCAACACTATATTTTTAAAATAAATGCCAAAATTACACAATTTCTGCCAGGGTATGCAAACCTTTAAGCACCACTGTATACACAACACCAATCACAGCTCACATATACAAATAACAGCTGACATAGAAGCCACCATAACATACATAAAACATAGAATTCTCCAACATACATAAACATTGCCTTAAATTTTTTTTACCACACTCTGATTTTTAGCCGATTCATTTAGCATAAAAATAAAAAATCTATGCCTATAGCTAAAATGGAAAAATATTTCGAGGTCAACTATTCCAGTCCCAATTTACACCCTCAGGAGTCAAGCAAGGCCTAGACATAACAGGGATATGTGAGAGTAAGAGAAGTGTATAGAAGGAAATAGTACTGTGGTCTTAAGAATAGTGGGTGGAGGTTTAGGGTAGAGGGCAGTATATAGTGTGTGACAGTATAAATAGGAGGGCATTTTGCAGGTCAAGCAGATCGCTTAATTATCATTTGGTAACAGCTTCCCGCCCTCCCTCCATTTCTGGTGTTTGTTGGTTGTTTCTTGTTTGTTTTGCCACAGCATGGCCCTTGCCAACCAGGGGTTGGACCAGCAGTCCGTGGAAAGATGTATGGTCGGGGCTGATCACTCCCCTAACTTCAGGTACAGGTATGGATAACAGACGTGCCCACTGAGCAAATGATCCTCTAGTGGTTAGCATTATTAAAATGGAAGGCCCAAGAAGACCTTTATACTGGTTGAGATGAGAGGGGAGGGCAGTTGCCCAAGTGATTGTGTTTGGTTGGCAAGGTGGTACTCAGTGACGTTACTTATTTACCAAGTAAGTTATATAATAATTTAATATGTTAGAAAGTTGATGTTGAAGATATATATATATATATATATATATATATATATATAATTTACTCAGACTCTAAGGAATCCATGTTTAAAATGGAATGAGGCAAAAATTTGAATCTTTGTTAAACCAATTTGCATATGCCCACTCAGAATCCTTTGCCGTAGTAACATTACTGCAAATTTGTGATTTCTGTGGGAAAATATTCTGTCCGTGTCCCACCTCTGATGCTCGCCTTCAAGACTTCGCCAGGGCTGCACTGTTCCTGTGGAACTCACTTCACTCCTCCGTTAGATGCTCACCCAGTCTCCACTCCTTCAAATAATCATTAAAAACCCACTTCTTCATAAAAGCGTATCAATTAAACTGTTAATAGCTCCCGACTGATTCCTCTCTTGCAACTGTCACTAGTCTAATATTATCCTTACCTTTTGTTTCACTTTACCCCACTCCCTCTAGCATGTTAGCTCATTGAGCAGGGCCCTCAACCCCTCTGCTCCTGTGTGTCCAACTTGTCTGGTTACAAATACATGTCTGTTCGTCCACC